GACTTACTTGAAAAACTAGCGTGTGGGTTTTTTGAAAATCTTATCTCCCTTTTGCACAATCTCTAGACCTAATCTTGTATCAGCCTGCAGTTGATGCACAGATAGGGCGAGGCTGCAGCAATCTGGGGCACACCACCTTTGTGATTTGTCATCCGAAAAGGGGAAGAGGTTTTGACTTGAAAGACCAAGAGGGTGGATGGCCTTCATGTGGGACCTCTGCATGGACCTCCTCCGTGGCTCCTCCGTGGCCTGGCGTTCCTTCCCACTGCTCCCTCCTGGGGACCCTGAGGCCTGCCACCTTGCCGAAACAGCTTGTCAAACAAAGCTCTTTGGTTTGCCAAAATACACACGGATGCTTCTAGCCGCTGGACCAATCCGTTTTAGGGAAATTAATGGAAGCCCACACTGGACCTTATTCCTTTCACACTTCCTTTTGCAGTTGAGATCCCCCCTCTGGGTGACATTACTAAAGTGTGCAGACCTCAGAAGTCGGAGTGTGAGAGGGATGTGAGACAGTGCGTGGGTGACCCCCGAACGGAGCCACACGAAACAGGCCTTCACCCAGTGATGGAGCTCCAAGGTCAAGAGCATGGACTTAGGGACCACATGGGCACTTGACTCCTGGCTCTCCACATTCGTGGGGTGACTCGTGGGAGTAGCTCATCTGAGCCTCAGTGTCCTGTGTGTGACTGTGGGAAACAGCTGCCTGACAGGTGGGGGATGGAGTCTGGAGACTGGGGAAGGAGCAGAGGCTCCCACCTGGGTCCTGGAAGAGGCCACAGACACAGGTCTGGAGCACACTGAGCCAGCAGGCAGGAGACGCTACCAAAACCCCCCGGACAGTGAGGCCTCGCTCCAGGCTGCTGCTGGTGGCCGGGCACCTGGGAGAGACGTCTCTCTGGAGGGTTGGCAGGAAATTACTCATTTGGTACCATCGCTGTGTATCTCACAGCGCCTTACACACAGGACCCCCAGAATGGAGGAAGTGGGCTTCGGAGGTAAAAAGAGACCGGAACACAGAACGGCCCAGGGGGCAGGGCCGCTGACGGCCGCTGACGGCTGCTAGAAGGAAGCAGCCACTCTGGAGAAGGAGAGTCACCACCGCAGCCACCCAGCAGAGCTCGGACACTTCCCGTCCTCAGAGGAGAAAGAAAACCCTCTATCTGCTCTCCCTCGCAGGGACGGGGGCAAATCCATGCCTTGTTTCCTCTGAGGTCCTCCAGGGCCTGTGGACTCTAGCCCCCCATGCAGTGTGGTCCTGCCATGCACAGGAACGCAGTGGAGCCCAGCCTTCACCCACGGCTGACCCCTATCCTTCATGAACACTGACAGCCTGTTCTGCTGTCATTCACCTCTACGACACTGAGGGTGACTCCCCAGCACTTGGCATCCATGTTCCACAGTGCCATGGGCACGCCACACCCATGGCCAAAAGACAACCAGGGTGCCTCAAAGATACTGCTGGCCCAGAGTCTGCAGTCCAGGGGAAGCGGGGTCTTACGATGACCCAGGAGAATCCCATGAAACCCCAGAGGACTGCAGAGCTGCCCTCTAACCCGCAGGAGACCCCAGAGCTCCCCTCTAACCCACAAGGGACCCCAGAGCTCCTCTCTAACCCACAAGGGACCCCTAAGAGTCTCGCTCTAGCACACAGAGGACCACCCTACAGACGGGTGTGGTTTGCCACCTTTGCGTAGTTTTCATGGTCCCTACGTTCCTGGAGTGACAGTGCCGAGGTTTACCAAGGACATCCAGTCTGGATCCCTGTTGTTGCAGACCACCCCATAATGTAGCCCCTGTACTCAGAAGGAAGTGAAAAGGGGGGGCTTTCTTGGCTAGAAGGCAGCAGCAGTCACCCCATGATAAACAGGTATTCTTCCCGATTCTGGACCATCCTGAGGCACCCAGCTATCAGGCAAGGCAACCGGAGCTCCTGTTTAGAAGGAAGTCACTGTCCCCAAGTCACCATGGGGCCACGTCTTAGGGTCTCCCTCACTAGATCAGTCCTCCAGGAGCGGCACCCCAGCTGAGGTCAGCTCCCTGCTTAGCAGGGACCCACTGACATGGCGGCTGCCAGTTCCACTCGGGGACCTGCCTACAGATCTGTGGCTTCAGATCTTTAGGGAGGGGCCTGGAAGGTTCAGGATGTTCTGAGTGTTTGGCAAACTCTCCGGGTGATTCCGATATTAACTCAATTTGGGAACCGTTGAATCAAGCAAGACTTCCCTTCAGCGGATGCTTGGACTGCTGATACTGGAAAAGAACATTCCGAACTTCAAAAGTCCACCGCTCCGGGCTGGGACTGGGGCTCAGCGGTAGAGCGCTTGCCTGGCATGTGCAAGGCCCTGGGTTCGATCCTCAGCTCCACATAAAGATAAATAGATAAAATAAAGGTATTGTGTTTAACTACACCTAAAAAATAAATATTAAAAAGTCCACCGATCTTATCAACAGATGTGAAATTCCCACTTAAGCCTAAGTGGAAGATCTCACAGCCTCGCAATGCCCGAGGGGCTGGGACGTAAAACTCCGTGTGTCAGCTACTGCCTACCATGCTTCTTTCTCCCCCTACCCTTGTGCAACTGTTTCCACGTACTTATGTCCACATGTTGGTTTTGTGTCTTGCAGAGCTGGGGTGGACCCAGGTCCTGTGTAGGGCAAGTGCTGTACCAGGGAGCCCCTGCAGCCAGCCTCAGCAACCTTGTGATCCACTCAACAATCTTTTAAAGGATCAGTCATAAGAAAAATAATTTTAACCTGTGCTTTATTTTTAACTATTTCCAGCGCTCCTCATTTCTTTGAATAAATCCAAATTTTCATCTGCATAATTTCCCGAAAGCCCAGAGAGCCGCCCTTCACACTCCCTGTAGCACAGGTCTGCCAGAGATAAGTTAGCTTGGCTTAGTTTTTTTTGTGGTTTGGGGTTTTTTGTTGTTGGTGGTGGTGGTTTGAAAAAGTTTTATTTTTGCCTTCAATTTTTGAAAAATATTTTCACTGGATATAGAACTCTTTTAGTTTTTGACTTTAGCGCTTTGAAGATGTCACTCCACTGTCTTCCACTCGCACAATATCTGACCAGAAACCTGTGGCGATGATCCATCTTCCTGGGTGTACAGTGCTTTTTGTTTTTGCTCCCTGGATGCTTTTTAATTTTCTCCCTATCTTTGGTTTTTAACAGGGTGAATATCATGTGCCTTCTGGTTTAGGGTTTTTAAAAAATTGTTTTTTTTTTATTTATAAAGATTCTCTGTGCTTTCTGGATCTGGGATTTGTTGTATTCGATGTGGAAAATTCCCAACTACTGTCTATTTAAATATTTCTTCTGCTCTGTTCCCTCTCTTACTCTGGTACTCCTACTGCACGTTATCAGGTCATTGGACAATGTCCACCGCACTTGGATTCCCTGTTATATAAGTTTCCCTCCACTCTTTTGTGTATATTTCTGTGGATCTACCGTCAAGTTCATTTGTCTTTCTGCAGCTGAGACTAGTCTGCAGATAAGTTTGCCAAAGGAATCATTCACAACTGATTTCATATTTTTTACTTGTAGTATTTCTAATTATGGCTTGGTTTCTGTGTGTCAGCTGAAATTTCCCATCTGGTCATGCATGCTATATTAGATCATGTATTTATCAGTTACTTTAAGGTCCCTGTGTTAGTATGTGTCACAGTGATTTTAAAGTCCCGGTCTTAGTGTCCAGCATCTGTGGCATCCCTAAGTCTGCTTGTGGTGATGGGTTTACCTGTTGGCAATTAGTTGGTTTGGTTTGGTTTGGTAACAAATATGAGGGCTGACTCGCCTTTTCAAGAGGGAAGGTTTGGGCTGGGGCTGGGGCACATGTGAGCCCTGGGTTCCATCCTCAGCACCACATAAAAATAAATAAACCAAATAAAGGTATTGTGTCCCTGTATAGCTAAAAATATTTTTTATAAAGGAGGAAAGGTTTATTTTAGGTCACATTTCTGGGGGCCAGTCCCTGAATGACCGGCCCTGTGGCCTGGCGCCTGAGGTGAGGCAGCACAGTGTGGAAGTGGGGGTGCAGCCAAACCACCCACCTCTGGAAGAGACAGGAAGCCAGTGAGGAGGGGCAGGTCCACAATCCCGCCAAGGGCACAGGTCAGTGACCCAGCGACCTCCACTGGGCCCCACTGGTACCGCTGGTTATGGGTGCCGAGTTCTGCTCCCCCACGCGTTGAAGGTTGAACGTTAGAGAAGCAGCCGCACACAAAGCAGGGTTTATTCAAAAAGGGTCAGTAGACTTCTCCTGGGAGGGAGAAGGGGCCATAGCTGGTGCTGGGCCGGCAGCCTTCCCCCCTCTCCCCTCCATGGCAGCCAGTCCCGTGGGCGGGGAGACCCCAAAGGGCCAATCAGAAGCTGACATGGCAGGGGTCCCGCCAGCTGCAGCGGTCGCAGGTCAACACATTGGCCCTGACGGACCTGCTGGGCTGGCCAACCTGCTGTCCGCAGCTGCAGTTTAGTGGCCCAGGCCCTCCCACTGCAGCTTCCCTCATCTGCACGGTTCCGCCCCGACTTCCCGGCCCCCACCCTTCCTGGACAGTGAACCTCGCTGGGGAGCGTCCCCCCAATAAACCTCCTTTTAGTGCCTCCTCCTTGTTCCGTGGTCCCCGATCTTGTGCCCTTTCTGCTTTACAGCCGGTGGCCTGGTGTCCCCAGGAGCAAGGTGTCTGTCCTAGGCTTCCTTTGTCTCCTGCTCCCTTCCCTTCCTCCCTCTCCTTCCTGTGTAGTGACCCGGCCAGGACTGGCCCAGGGACGCTTGCTGGATGGCCAAAGGGTGGGAACAGGTGGGCTGAAGGGGGAAGGGCAGGATGGAGCGCCCAGGACACATAGGAGCGGCAATCCCTGGGATGGGTGACCTTGGCAACAGGTTGGAGCAGGGGCAGGCTCTCGATGAGGGTGGAGGGAGGAAGGGCTCTGAAGGAAAGAACACTTCAATCCCTCAGGGTGGGGTAGGGACAGAGGAGGCAAGGCACCCAAGACAGCAGGAAACAGTTTTATTTGGCTGCAGCCAGGCTCAGGGGGCACAGCCTGTGCTGTAATCAATCAATCCCCTGAACCCCGAGTTCAGGGAGTTTCAGAATTTTATCCCCAGCATGTAAGGGGAGGGGCTCAGCAGTTCACAGTCTGCAGAAGTTCACACGAAATCAGCTTTTTCTCTCACTGTTCTGGGCAAGTTGACCCTTCAAGGACAACACCTGAGAAGGGGGAGCCTCTTCTCCCCTCTCTTTCCTCCCCCTGTCAGCTGTTACCATGGGCCCATTTGTAACTTATCTTAAAAATGTGGACATCCCTGTGAAGCCCAGCTCAAGGCCAGAGGCCTTGTTTGCACAGTTCTTCAAACTACTATACTGGATATGTGTGTCAAAAACTAGTAAGGGGTGTCCATCACCTGGAGTGCTGGTATCTTCTCGGCCAGTGGCCAAGTAAGCAGGGTGACATGAAAATAGGAAGTTTATCTACATTGGACTCTTTCGAAGAGACTCTTTTGCTGACAGTCCTAAAATCAGCCATGGTGAAGAGGGCTTTTCTGTGGAGAAAGGGGGTGCCACTTCAAGAGGACAGTCTCCAACTTCCCAGCCTCACTCAAAATTGACCTCCTTGAGCTGACCTGACTTGCCTTACCTTTCTAGACTGACTGCCTGTCTAATTCTGGCTTCACCACCTCTGACAGGTCCTCCCCTCTCAGTAAACAGCACCTCGGCTGGGGACAGGCCTGCACGCCAGGGGCCTGTGGGGACACTTCAGATCCAAACTGCAGTGCTGCAGGAAATATTCTATATGCCTTTAAGAGAGTGCGGAGCAGGTGGTTGACAGTCTGGTCAGGCGCTCAACGGGCTTGGGCTTTGTTTCTGCAGACCACACTTGCCTTGCATCAGTGTCCCAAGCCCAGGGTGACCAGCTGCTCTAGGTCACATGGGGCTGAAGTGCCAGAGGCCTTCCTTTGTGTTCCCAGCCCTTCCTCCACCTTTGTGCCCACAGGCCTGCACCATGTGGGACTCTCCTGGCTCCGGCCCTTCCCCAGGACACGACTGACCGCCGCTGCTTGCTGTGCTATTTGGTGTCAGGCTCATGGTGTGGAAGGAGGGGCTTCCATGGTCCTGAGTCTTACATGAGCCCCTGCGTCTGGGCCTCCGAGCTGGTCCTTGAGGGCATCCCTGCCCTCCCAGGCAGTCGGCTCTGCCTGTCCTTGTGGTTAGCCGGGGGTGGGGGCCATCTGCCCCTCCTTAAGCAGCCGAGGCCTCATTGACCTTGTCCCAGGGCTGGAGGCTCTGCCTGCTGCAGAAAACACAATGGGAAAAGGACAACCCTTGTGTCTGTTTCCAGGGTACCGTGGTCACCACTGCATGCCTGGGCCACTGGGGGGCTCTGGTCTCGAGGTGCTGCCCTGGGAAGGCCCATAGTACAGAGCAGCAGCGGTCCGTTGGAGGCCCAGCTCTGGGAACTGACGCAGCAGCCTGTATGTGCCCCCGAGGAGGCTTTTCCTGCTCTGTCCCCACACACTTGCATGGCGGCCCCTCCTCCTCCCAGGACCTGTCAAGTGTGGCAGAGGTCAGACCACCCATCTTTCCGTGAAGGGCTCTTCCCTCTGCAGAGCCGGCTGACCTGGTGGTCTTGGGCCCAGGCTCTCTGGAGGGCTCAGGCAAGCTGCAGGTCTGGTGGCTCACCAGGCTGCCTCGGGCAGGAGGGGCAGTCCTACCTGTCAAAGAGGAGGCATAAACCTGAGTGGTCCCAGGGATGGGGAAGGAGAAGCTCCCTTTGCATCAGAAGCATGTTTCCAGAATGCCTCACCCCTCCTTCTGGGGCAGTGGTCCAGAGGGCCCCGAGCAGGCAGGTCATCGAGGGACGGGAGGAGCCTGTGCTCACCGGGCTGGGAAGGGGTGCAGCGTCCTGTGGAGGGGGGGTGGGGAGGCCAGCTCTCAGGTGTGGAGCCAGACGTGACAAGAGCCGAGCAAGCGAGAGTCACAGAGCCAACCAGAGCAGACTTTGAGTCCAAAGGGCAGGACTGCCCCATGGCGCTGGAGCCTGCTCCCAGAGCAGGGGCTGGCGGTGCACTGCCCCCCAGGCCGCCCGACACTGCAGCAGGTGCTTCCTGCCCGATGGAGCAAGGCCAGCGTGGCCAGAGCAAGAGGCCGGGCACACCCAGCACCAGCGAGGGGCTGTGAGGGCAGACATGAGCAGCTCCAGGGATCGGTGGGGACCGCATGGGAAAGGAGGAGGCCACCGCTCCTCCCAGAAGTGCAACCTCAGCACCAGAAGCAATCTTCACTGGTCAGCTGCACAGCTGTCCACTTTCCCGTTTGGAAGGAATGGGGAGCTGTTCTCCAGACCCCTGGCTCCTGCGGCTTCAGCATGCTGTGGCCCAGATCTTAGAGTTCACAGACCCGACCCGACACAGCCTGGGCCAGCCCGGCGCCGCTTCACAGGGCCTCCCTCTGGGCATCCAGGAGCCGGGTCTGGGATCAGGCACGTCCAGAGGGCCCTGGGCTCCCTGCTGTCTCCCTGGGAGGCAGCCAGGATGAGCAGAGACGCCATCCACTAATGACCCCCTCAACCTGAATCTGAAACTGAGGCTTTTTACAAGGGGCCACGGAACAGCTGGGACTTCCCCAGGTTTGCAGCACAGCAAAGGCCCAGGCGGCAGTTCATTCTAAGTTCTGGGAACAAACACAGAGCCAGGCCGACCCTAAGCACCACTGGTGGGTCATCGTCCCCAAGTCCACCGTGTACAGATGAGCACGCTGCCACCAGCATGGAGTCTGGGACATGTTTGTCCCTCTTCCTTTTCCTTTCATATGTGTCCTCTAGTCCTCCCCTGACCCCTGGAATCCACCCACCCCCCCAGCTACAGGGTGGACTCTGGTCATTCCCATAGCCCTCAGTCCCCCAGGGCTCTGCCTGGGTGCTCCTCTGGAGGAAGCCACCTTCTCACCCAGGGCCCCTGTGGTGCTTCTCAGCTTCTCCCTCGGAGAAAATGTGCACCTGGGCACTGGCTGCTCATCAAGGAAGACTTAACAAGGACCAGTCCCCAGAGAACATGGGCTCACGCAGTCTGACTCATCTCAGGTCCCTAGACAGGAAAGCAGCCGCCCAGAGAGACAAAGGCCCCGCAGATGCCTCGGTGGGAAGGTGGGAAGGTGGGAAGGATCTGCCGCCCCTTTCTCTGGCTTTCCTACTGGGACCTCTGAGCAGAACTCCAGGGAAACCTGGCTGTGGTGGGAGTGGCGGCACGTGGGCTTTGTTACGGGTGAGGGCACAGCCTGGGCTCCAGCCTTCAACCGCAGACCCATCTTACCTGTCACTTTCCCAGAAGATGCCGTTCCTAAAAACCGCTTTAGATCAACACAGCACATCTTGTTTTGAAGCTCATCCATTCTACACCCCACACCGTGCAGGCACTCGCAGAACCAAGCACATGTTCTGTCCCCAGTTCAGACTTGAGACTCTCACCCCAGGCCAGCAGTGGACGAGAATTTCTCTTCCCCAAGGCGGGTCACAGCAGCTCTATGCGTCCTGCCCTCTGCCTTTAGTAGGCTGTGAAGGCATGCCCTGACCCACCTGTCCACTGGTAAATGGTAAGATCCCCTCCTTCCAGAGGGGTCCTGCAGAGGCCAAGGAGGACCTGCAGTCAGCCCTGCGGGGACGCTGCCCAGCCGTTGGCATTAGCTCAGACCCCTTTTGTTCCATCACACTTCAGGACAGTTGTCCATGCTTCAATTGTGGCTGTGCGAGGAAGCCCCCATAAGGCCCGGGAGAGTGGGGTCAGGGAGCTTCTAGAGGGTAGCACCCCGGGAGGCCATGGGGACTCTGCACCTATCCCCCACACATCACCCTGCACACCTCTCCATGTGTTCCCTGGGTTCTCCAAGCCCCTGGAGCCTGGAGTGGAAGCCGAGGAGGGGATCACAGATGCAAGGAGCACAAGGAAAACACCTGGGGCTGAGATGTGCCTCTGAAGTGGGTTGCCTCTGTCTCCGGGTGGACAGCAGCAAAATCAAACCGAACCAGAGCACACCTGGCTGGTACCCGCTGCTGCAGAACTGCTTGCTTGCTGGAGGGGAGAACCCACACCTGGCCAGAGGCCTGCGGTGCTGACCTGGTGCCAAAGCACGTACTGAGTCTATGCGGCAATAGCCAGCCATCCTCAGTGTTTCCAGGTCTCGGCCTTCTGACCCCCTGGGCAGCCTGCACCTCCCACCTGCGGAGAGTCAGGGTCACCAGATGACGCGTGTGGTCGATCCAGGCTGGTGAACTGACTGCTCTTCTGGAACCGGAAGCCCCTGAGGTCTAGAGTCCAGCGTGCTCTGCTCTCCTTCTTCTCCCCATGTCCCCAGAATGAAACCATGTCCACTGCCTCTGGGAGAAGCCCAGGGTGGACGAGAGCACTGTTGAAACGAGGCTGTCTGATGCCTGGGCAGGACCTGCTAGGGGTGCTTGACAGGTGGACAGGCTGGAAAAGCCAGAAATTCCCAGAGATCAACAGTCGTAAAAGTGTCTCATCTCTTGGACCACTTCCTCAGGAGGGGCTGCAACAGGTTGGAAGTCCCCACAGTTCCGACGGTTCACAGGCTGGGAGTCTGTGCCCCCAAACACACATGTTGAAAGCTTCACAGAGGTGATGGTAGGAGGAACCGGGGCCTTCTTGGCATGTTAGACCGCACTACGCATTATTCGTTGTTTTCTCATTGAATACCTAACAAGCTTTGTGCAAACCAGGTGCTGTCTTCATTGTACAAGTGCCGCAGTGGAGAGAGATGCACCCACCAGGCTCTCATACAGTCAGTCTGCATGGGAATCAGATTTCAATTCACAGTCTGCCCATTATGTCACGGATGCTCTTCTCCCGTGTCCTGGGGAGGTCATGCAGGGCTGGGTGTTGGGAAAGGGTTTGTGATAGAGGGAAGTTGTTTTGGAGGTCACTGGAAAGGTCAGGTGCTTGCACAGCTGCCTGTGAATGAGATTACAGGACACTGGGGGAGGGAATGCCCAGGGGGCTTGAAGAAGCCACCTGCTGTGCCATCCATCTGTCCAGCCAGGCCCAGGCAAAGGGAGCTGCTGTCTCCACCTCGCCCCTGAGTTAAACCACTGGAGCCTACAGGTTCTCCCAGGAAAAGTCAGACATTTCACTGAGTTTTTGGTAAACTGGGGAGGCTTCATCACAGAAAGAAAAGGCAAGTTAATAGCCAGTTTCCCCCAGATCCATCCTCCCTTCTTTCTGGACAGCTGGAGAATACATTTTCAGAAATCAAAGAATCAATTTAATTTCTATGTTGTTACTGGTAATTAAGACCCAAGGAGTTATTACTTGAGTATAGACAGAAACGATCCCAAATTCTCAGGATCTATAAAATGCATGTCTGAGTTACTGCACCCCAAAGGGCTTAAGGGTGACAGCACCGGAGGTGAGTCTCTAGGAGGGGCAGGAGGAGGCAGGCCTAGCACCCCGTCACCATGCCGCCATGTCCTTGCAGGGTTGACCCAGCTGGAGGCTGCTTCGCATCCCGCACAAACTGATGTCCATCTACCCAACTGCAAGGAGACATGATTTCTAGGACACCGAGAGAGATGCAGTCCAGCCAAAGATGCCACTGTCCCCTCAGGCACCATGCCTACCTGTGTCCAGACCTCCTCTGCCTTCTCAACAGCCCAACCCACACCCTTCGCACCCACCCACCAGCATGGGTACACTTGGCTCTAGGGGAGGCACTGGGAGGGGGCCTTGACTGTAGCTGCACTCTGACACGGGCCAGGTCCCTCCTTTGAAGACAGAGGTATTTTGACCTCTTTGTCAACTCCACTGAGAAGGAAAGCTGAACAAGTTTCACTACCCAAGTTTAACTCTCTTCTGACTTTAGACAAATGTGCAGTGGAGACAATTATCCTTACCTCATTCAAGGCAAAGAAAAATATGGAGAAAATAGGTTGATCTCTCTCTTTTCTGTTACAGAAAGAAGATGAAGTCAGCACATTTCTAGAAACTGAACCCATTAAGTAGGTATGGCTACTCCTCTTCTTGAGATGAAGAGACTGAGGGTCAGGCAGTGAAACCAGCAGGTGCACAGCCAGTGGCTACATCTGCTTCCTCTGCAAAGGAGCTGCAGCTGATGTCTTTGGCATCAGGAAAGAAAGCAGGTGTGAGGAGGGAAAGATGGGGGTGCACAGACCCTCGGGCATGAGCTGGAAGGACATGCAGACCAAGGGAACATGGGTCAGGTCTCAGTACCTCTTGGTGAAGGGGCCTCTGTCGCAGAGCTACACACATATGGGTGAAGAGTCTGGGAACCTGGTGGAGGTCAATGCTGTCTGAAGTACCAGGCCAAGGATGTCACACATGGAAAACAAGTCACCTGTGACTGGGAACAGGTGTGTCTCCTTCCAAGTCTGCATACCTTTCATCTCCTCCTCTTGCCCGGTGACAGCATGTCCACCTTGTCTTGCTCCTCATCTCAGAGCAAGCAGTCACCCCGTCACTGCCATGCCAACGGTGGGCTTCTGCAGAGGTCCCCTGTCAGGCCAAGTCCCTTCTGGTCCTAGCTTGCTGACAGCCTTTAACATCAGGATGTTGATCTGATCAAATCAATGCTCTTCCTACAGCAACGGACAGCACGTGCTGTTTTATTTGGGAATGTCAACACGTCAGGTTCACGGTTTTGCAGATGTAGAAAATGTCACATGAATCCAACTGCGCGGTCGCCTCGCTGCGCTCTACCTCTGCTGGGTGCCAGGCACAGCTGCCACTTGTGTGCTCCCGAGGGTCGAGGACGCAGGGTCTTCTCTCCTTGGATTGCCTTGGCCTGGCTGTGTGTCCCTGCAGTGCTGCCACCGCAGGTGGAGGAGTCTCCGTGCTCCTGATTTCTGTAAGGCCTCCTGAAGGCCTGCAGTGGACCCACTGGGGATCTGGAGTGTCCTTTTACTGGAAGATTTTTAGCCACACACTCAAGTTCTCTGGTAGCTGCGGACCCCTTGAATGGGTCTGGCAGTTTGTCTGTGAAGCCCTCCGCCTGCTTCATCTGAGTCCACGTGGGTAGAGCTGTGGTCTCCCTCAGGGTGCTCTGTGCGGGGTCCCTGCGAGGTCCTCTCTGCCATTCACATGTTAGCAGTCGGTGTCCGCCTTTTCCTTGTCTTGATAGAGCATCTCACTGGTGCAGAAGTTTAC